AATGTTTACCAAACCACGTGGCAGGTGAATGATAAGGGTGCAGTCCCGCTGATGCAAGCTCCTTGTCCATGCTGAGTCACAGGAACACCAAGCTGATGACCTGATACAAAATCAGCATTATTAGGTACTGCTTCCTCACTGGGACTAAACTTCTGTGGAATAGAAGTCAACTCTAATCTAGCTGTCTGTGGAACTGACTTGACGAGGGTCCCTGTCCCATACCAGCAGCTGTGTGATTTTGAGAAAAAGACTATCTGGTTGTCATTTTTTTTTTCCGAGACAGGGTTTCTCTGTGTAGCTTTGTGCCTTTCCTGGAACTCACTCTGTAGACCAGGCTGGCCTCGAGCACACAAAGATCAGTCTGCCTCTGCCTCCCAAGTGCTGGGATTAAAGGCGTGTGCCAGCACTGCCCGGCTCTGGTTGTCATTTTAATTTTCTCCTCTTTGCAATAAAGCAGCGCTATCTGGTGGCCTCCTAGAGGACCAAATAGGTTTTCTGCTAAGGTAAGAGGATGTGAGGCTAGGTCAGTAAATGTGGCAAGGTGAGACAGAACAAGAACTATGGGATGGTAGGTGTGCAGCTCTGGCCACAAGGCCTCCCTCTGTAACTTATGAGCGTCCCACTTGTCCTGTGCTGAGCTGGAAGTCTGAGATGTGAAGACCCTAGTTGAGGGGCTCTACAATATCTGTGCCTTTGAAACACTGCAGACCTTTTCCACCAAAGCCACATCCCACCCGAAAATGCCAGCATCCAAATAGAGCCACATGCAACACATCCAATCATAAATGGCATGTGAGGCTTAAGCCCGCCCCTGAAGCCCTCTGGCCCAATGAACATCCGGGCCGAGTCTCTAAACCTCCCCCGTTCCACCTTGGTCTTCCTGCCTGGGACATTGAGCATGCTCAGACTTGAAGTCGTTAAGGAACTGCTGAGGAGCTGCTGAGCCGTTGTGGAGGGGGTCTGTGGAGTGGGACTGTGGAGTTCATCTGGTGAGGGCAGTCCCAGGTCAGGGTGGCCAGGCTCAGGGTCTTTTCAGAGTCTGGACTTCCTCACAGCCCCGGTTCTGAGGAAGCTGAGGTGAAGACAAACCCACCTTCTTGACAGCAGTCTCCTCTTAGACCAGGTCTAGTGAGGCCATCTTCTCAGAGCCTGAGACTCCTCACAGCCCAGTCCTCATGAGGCTGAGATGCCCTCAGTGAAGATCCAGGATAGCAGGATGCAGTTCTGAAAAAAAATTATAGGCTTTCATCCAGATTATTATGGGATTAACGTTTTCCATATTTCTTTACTTCATCTTAGTGCCTGTGGGATCTGCAATATCCCCTTTCTCATTCCTTATGTGAGTAACTTTAATAATCTTTCATTTTTCTTTGCTAGTGGGCCTAGAGATATATCAGAGTTGTATAGACATACATCTTTTTCTTACCCCTTGTCATCTTTATTTGTCAATTGAATTTTAAAAATTGACTA